CAACTCTTCTGGTCTTCGGTCTTTTGTGTATAATGTATCAAATCTGTTCTTCAGATGATCTCTAAATTCAGGTGGGATATATTCATGGTCATATTTTGGTTCTCGTGGACTTGTTTTCAATTTCTTCAGGTTCAGCCTGAATCTTCATACGAGCAATTGATAGTCTGATCCACAATCTGCCCCTGGCCTTGTTTTGGCTGATGATATGGAGCTTTTCCACCGTCTCTTTCCACAGATATAGTCAGTTTGATTTCTGTGTATTCCATCTGGAGAGGTCCACGTGTATAGTCTTATCTGATGCTGTCTAAAAAATGAACAAAGAGATCAGAGAAGAATGCATGCATTTGAGTTATGGTATTGGAGGAGAATATTAAAAAGTACCATGAACTGTCAAAAGAACAAACAAATCTGTGTTGATAGCAGTACAGCCAAAATGTCCCATAGAAGCCAGAATGACCAGACTTTGTGTTTCATACTTCAGACATATTATCAAGAGGGTCCAGTCCCTGTAGAAGATTATCATGTTTGGTAAAGTGGAGGAAGACCACCAACTAGATTGATTGGCACTACGGAAGCAGCAGTGGGCTCAAACATAGCAATGATAGTGAAGTTGGCATAGGACAAGGCAATGTTTCATTCTGTTGTGCTTAAGGTTGCTATGAGTTGGTACTGACATTATGGCACCTCACAACAACAACAATCCTTTATTTGCTAGACATTGTTACCATCTCTGTAATCTAATGTTTCTCTTTTTAAATTAGTGGGAGAACCTACCTGGAAGGCATGGGTTATTGGAATAAAAAGAGTCCAAATTATATTTATCACAAGGAAATAAAATAATAAAATTACCATTTTTCTCAGCATCTATTAGGTTAGATTTTTATAAACACTTGAATATGTGGTTTCAGGAATCTGTATATAAGAAAAACGTTGGTAACAAAAGTAGGCATGAACAGAGGACTTTAATTCATGTCTATGTGATTATTTGCCATTCAGTATGTGTACGCAATGAAATTAAGGTTTGAGAAATGTATTCTTAATAGATTTTAATACAATCTTAAACAGTCTTCCTAGAATTGAATTGTTTTTGTTTTTGTTAAGTGATGTCAGGTCAGTTCTGACTCTAAGCAATCCTGTATAGGGTTTCTGAGGAATAGTTGGTGAGTTTGAACTGCCAACCTTGTGGTTAGCGGTCCAGTGCTTATCTTACAGTGCCACACCAGGACTCCTAGAATTCAATAACCAGTTTAAATTCAGTACTAGTGTAGTCAACCATCTGTTTCTAACTAGTTGGTTTCAAATGATCTTATGAAAGCGTTCATAGAAGTTATCTTCACACAAATAAGATAATTTGATGCCAGCAATTTTTATCCTCAAAGAGCAGTAGTGTATTGATTAGCAACATTGGCAGTGGAAAAGAAAATCAACTCAGATAGTTAATTTAAACCTCCTTGCAGACTTCTTTTTCTTTCCATATTGAACCTACTTCACAGACTTGCTTTGTGAAGAATGCTTTCTTTTCCTCTCAGCTTGCCAGTCTCGATTCCATCACTCAAGTCCATCTTTAACCACACCATTCTTCCATAAAGCTTTCCCAGACTGTGCAAAAGATGCATTTTGAAAGCCAAATTCTAAAAAGCAAACCTCTCCATGCACTCCCTACCCAAAATATTAGGCTATGAACAGCTTCCCAACCTTTGGCCTATTTGGACCTAAAACTTCCATGAATGTTCTGCACACTTACTCAGAATATACAGAAAGCAAGCAATGTATGTACTCATTTGAATAGGTATGTGTGTGTGTGTAGTCTTACAGTGTTCAGGGTTTATTTTGTTGCCTGCATCAACTTCATGAATTTCTTTTTGTGATGAACTGTGAATTTCTGCAGGATGAGCTTGTTCATCTGTCATGATTGTTCTATGTGATATCTACTCACAGAGAACATCCCCCAGAAAGACATATAATCAAAAATGTTGGTCAAGGTAAAGATAATAGTGCTGGTAATGAATCAGTAGCCTGTCCCCTGAAAACAATCATGACTGATCCGTAGACTAAATTAAATCAGACAAGCTATTCTAGGTTCAAGATACTGGATTCCAGATCATGGATGTATTTAGAGTAATAATCTACATCTTAACTGAAATCATTTAACTTTACATAATTACCTTGGCTATTGATAATTTTTCTCTGATCTTTCTCTTTCTAATGTGTGTCCTGAAAACCCCTTAGGGGCAAAAACTACTGGGAATCCATTTTGCCTGTGGTTACTAAGAGATTTTTATCTGTTAATAAAAGAATTTTTTTTTCTTATAAAATATACTTTGTGTTCTAGACTGCTTTGTCTTTGCTTTATTTATGTTTATGATGACTGTCAATATATATTTTTTAATTCAATCACCTCTATTTTAGTGTTATTGCTTCTGAAATATTGTAGTTTTCCTGAAACTGCTGCTGCTATTTATCTTACAAATTAAAGCTATGAATGTGTTATAAAATTGCATAATGAAAACGAATCATTGGATTACAGTGAAAATTAAGTGCTTTTTTTCACAGTAAAGCTCTATAATTTAATTATTCTGTGTTTATATTTAATTCCTTATTTCTTTTCCCATTCATTTTCACCAAATGAATGCTATCTCAGTGTATGTGTTTATTAACATTCTTTCTCTGTTTTTCTTTTTTTTAATGCATCCTGAATTCAGTAGCTGAAACATGTGTCTGAGATAAAGCTATATCTCACCACTGCAGGCTTAGAGGAGGATTGTGTAAGACTAGCAATAGAGAATGTAAATAGACTTACCCCTTCCACATTATGCACTGTATTTTTATGCAAATAACTTTATACATTTTTGCATACTAACCACCCCCCTTGGGTTATTTGCATAAGCATGATATTCCAGTATTTTTTTTTACATATTGTTGTTCTTCTCTTTTTCTTTTTGTGCATTAGATTTAATGTTAAGTCTTCCTCTTGGTACCTGGTGACCCAGAGGTTTGGTTCCCAGCAGCATACACTCACCAGCCTATTCTCAAGTTTCTAAAGTAGCTCTTCTATTGGCAGAATTCCTTCCTTGATCAGCAAACAAGTTTTTTCAGTACAGGAAGGAAACACTTTTTTCTGCTACAAAGAAAGCCCAAGGTGGTTGACCTGAGCCAAGTAGGTGCATGAATCAGGGCACCCTGGGCCAGAGAGGACACTCAAGAGGATGCTATGGGGTCAGTGTGAGAGACATGGGCATAGAGGGGTCTTGTGTCCCTCCTTCAGATGAAATGGGTCTGGCTAGCCACCTCAATCCACATGAGGTCAAGCAGTATGGGTCCCCACCAGTACCATCTTGTTGCTTGACTTCAGCACTCAGGACCAATGTGACAATGGGCAACTACTTCCACCCACTATACTGCCAGTCCATACTTAGGCTGTGACATCCCCTAACACAGTCCTCTGCTTGACCTTCTGCCTATCTCTCACATGATATACCTGGGCCCAGATCAGCTACAAGGAACTCCACCATTCTCCGGCCTACCTGTGAACTGCCCCAGAGTAATGGTGGTGGTGGTGGGGTGTGCTATAGAGTTGGTTCCAACTCAGAGTGACCCTGCATAGGGTTTCCAAGGCTATAAATATTTATGGGAGTAGAAAGCTTCATCTTTCTCCCATGGAATGGCTGGTTATTTCGAACTGCTGACCTTGAGATTAGCAGCCCAACTCATAACCATTGCGCTACCAAAGCCCCTTGCCCCAGAGCAATATACAGTTTCAATTGCTTATTTTCTGATTCTTCTACTTGTCAGTCAACTTATCATACTGATGAAGATCAAAGATTACAGCCTTCAGTATGGACTGCACCTCAATGTAAAGAAAACAAATATCCTCACCACTGGATGAATAAATAACATAATAATAAATGGAGAAAAGACTAAAGTTGTCAAAGACTGTTTGCTTGGATCCATAATCAACATGCATGAAGCAGCAATCAAGAAATCAAAGGATGTATTTCTTTAGTCAAATCAGCTACACAAGACCTCTTTAAAGAGCAAAAATGTCAGCTTGAGGACTAAGGGGCTCCTGACTCAACTCATGGCATTTTCAATGACCTCATATAGTTAGATAGTGAATAAGGAAGACCAGAGAAGAATTGATGCATTTGAATCATGGGCTGCCAGAAGAACAAACAAATCTGTATTGGAAGAAGTCCAACCAGAATGCTCCTTAAAAGCAAGGATAGTGAGACTTCATCTCTCGTATCTTAGACATGTTTTCAGGAAGGTCCAGTCCCTGGAGAAGAAATCCCTGTTTGGTAAAGTGGAGGGTCACTGAAAAAGAGAAACACCAACAAGGAGCTGGATTGATACAGTGACATAAGCAATGGGCTCAAACGTAACAACAGTTGTGAGGATGGCACCGGGCAGTGTTTTGTTCTGTTGTGCATAGGGTCACTACAAGTTGGAACTTACTCAACAACATTTTCTGATTACCAAGGTACTATCAAATTCCATCCAGGACTTCTTTTTTGTTAAGGTTTTTATTGTGGATTGAGTAAAAGTTTACAGGGCAGATCATCAGTTTTACATTCAACAAATCATATACCTTGTTTCATTACAATGATTATAATCCCTTCTATGTACCAACAGTTACCACTGTTTGTCTCTATTCACTTTAGCTTTTTAAAAAACAAAACAAAAAAACACACTCAGGCATATGTAATAATTTACACCATTAAAGGGCACTTCTGAAAGTCTGCCTCCTGGCCACCATCTCTTAGTCCCTCACTTCCCATGAATCTAGAGTCCCTCTCTCCATGTCCCCATCTCTGCCTCCATCTCTGGTGTCACTCCTTCTCTGGATAAGGTCTTGCATTCCTCTTGTGCTCTTCTCCCTTGATGATCTTAGGGTCCTTTTGTTTCTGAACTGTAAGATTAACAACTCCCCTATTTCTGTTACAAAACTTCTACTTTTACAGTTGTGACAGTTGTAATTAGTCATGATAGCAATCCCTCACTATTGAACCATAAGAATTTTATCTCCATCTCTTTTAACCAGACCCATCTAGACAATATGAAAACTATTCAGTGGGGACTCTTTCTTTCCCCACACACTATTAAACTAAGCTCCCCCTTGAATCCTTATAAGCTAGTCACTTTGTGCCTTTATCACCCCTCATTTTAGGTAGCCAATATATAAGTTGCCTATCCCTATCCATATCAGCTGGATGCTTTACTCTCAGCTCTAGACCTCTGTGACTTTGTCCTTGTCCATGGGCTCAGTTGCCCAGGTTTCACCATATTTTGGACCAATCATCCCTTCTTCTTCTCTTTCTCATCTCCAGGTCCACAGGAGTCTATCGAATCTGGTTGAGCTCAGCTCATTTCTTCACTGCTGCCTTTCCCCCTCTTCCACTCACCAGGACGAAGACCAACATGGGCACAAGCAAGCTTACATGCTTGCTCATGTGTTCACTTTGAGTTTCAGCCTTAGAGGGGAGTTTGTCCTGAAGGAACTTGATTGCTTGCCTTGATGGCTTCCTGGTGAACAGCTTGCTTATTCTTGTAGTGGCCAGTCATACTGCTATTTTTGTTTTGGGTTTTTACTGATGAGCTTTCTTTGAAGATGTATTTGTTGTCACTCTAGCTGTTCCAGCTGTTCTACTGTCCTTTCTAGTGGGAATGTCCCACCTCAGAAGGTTCAGAATAGGGCTCAAGATTCCACCCAAGGTCCTATACACTGCAAAGGCTCCACAGGAGACCTATTTCACTGGGCAAGTTCTAGAATCCCTATTTGGCATTCCAAACAGTTATAGGCTGAAGACAGGCTTACAAACTTTCTGTAATCATGTTTCCCAGCATTCCTTTCTATCCAACTCAAGTTTCGAGTTTACAATAGTAGGAAAGGGAAAACAATATGCATAAGACAGTCAAGCATCTTAGTATTATTTCCCTCTTCAAACTATGCCTAGTTCCCTGTATCACAGAACCCTGCTGTTCCAAGGTTGAGCATGCATCACTATTTACCTCTGTCCCACTTAGAACATACACACCTGTCTCAGTGTCCCCCTATCTACCTTGTTCTTCCACCCCCTCCCACTTCTTGTGCACTGCCCTCCCTAACACCCAAACTATGATGTGTCTGCCCTTACCCTGTGCTCTATCATTGCCTCCCTCTACCTCCTCCAAACCTTCCTACTCCAACCCCACTGGTAACAAAAAAATTAACTTTTTTTTTTTTTTTCATTTTAGTATAGTTATCTTTTCTTAAGCTTTTACAATAATGGTCTAATGCAATATTTGTCCTTTTGTGACTGACAAATTTAACTCAGCATAATGTCCTCATGGTTCATCCATGTTATGTGGTGGCTTGAGCTTCCCTGTTGCTCTTCAAGGTAGCGTACTATCCCATGTGTGTGTGTACCACAGTTTGTTTATCCATTCTTCAATTGATGATCACTTAGGTTGTCACCATCTTTTTGCTATTGTGAATACTGCTGATATGAATATTGGTGTGCATATATCTACTCGTGTTATGGCTCATATTTCTTGTGGTTATATATCAAGTAGAGGAATTGCTGGATCATATGGTATTTCTATTTCCAGCTCTCTGAGGAAGTGTCATACTGTTTTCCAGAGGGGTTGGACCACTTTGCATTCCCACCAGCAATGTAGGAGAGTTCCAGTCTCTTCACATCCTCTCCAGCATTTATTATCCTCTGCATTTTTTAACTTCCCTGTTATTTCGGGTGTGAGATGATATCTCATTGTTGTTTTGATTTGCATCTCTCTAATGGCTAATGATCATGATCATTTCTTCATATGTTTGTTGGCTGCCTGAATATCTTCTTTGGTAAAGCATCTGTTCATGTCCTTTGCCCATTTTAAAAATTGGGTTGTCTTTTTCTTGTGGAGATGTTGTAGTTTCCTATAGATTTTAGAAATTAGCCCTTTGTCTGTCATTGCAAAAGATTTTTTTTCCCATTCTGTGGGCTCCCTTTTTACTCTTTTGGTGAAATCTTTTGTTTCACATAAGTTTCTAATTTTTAGAATACCCCAGTCATCTCTTTTGTCTTCTTTTGTTTCTGTAATTTTCACAATGTTTCATACTCTGTGTGTTCCCAGGATTAGAGCTTTTAAATTTGTCCCTATTTTTTAATTGATGACCTTTTAACTCTGGGAGTCACATTTAATTCTTTAATCCATGCTGAGTTGGTCTTTGTATATGGTGTCTTGTTTCAGTCTTTTGCACATTGATTTCTAGTTCTGATAGCACCATCTGTTGAAGACACAATGTCGTTCCCACTCAATGTACTTTGGCCCTTTCTCAAAGATCAGTTGACTGTATATGGATGGGTGCATTTCTGGATTCTCAATTCTGTTTCATTGATCTATGTTTCTTTCATTGTACCAGCACCAGGCTGTTTTGACCACTGTAGCCATATAGTAAAATTTGAAATCAGGAGGTGAGAGGCCTCCAATTTTGTTCTTCTTTTTAAGCAGTGCTTTGCTTATACTGGGTCTCTTTCCTTTCCATACAAAGCTTGTAATCATTTTTTCCATCTTTCTAAAGAATATCATTGGAATCTGGATTAGGAATGCATTATATATGTAGATTGCTTTGGGTAGTATAGACATTTCCATGGTATAGTCTTCCGTTTTTGTAAGTCCCTTTTGATTTCTTGTAGTATTGTTTTGTAGTTTTCTTTGTATAGGTCCTTTGTTTTTCTGGTTATATTTATTCCTGAATAATTCATCCTTTGAGTGGCTATTGTAATGGTATTGCAGTTCTAATTTCCTTTTTAATGTTGTCATTATTGGTATAGAGGAATCCAACTGATTTTTGTTTGTTGATCTAGTAACCTGCCACTTTGCTGAATCTTCCAATGAGTTCCAGTAGTTTTTTGCTGAGTCTTTGGGGTTTTCTATGTATAGGATCATATCATCTACAGATAGAGAGCCTTACTTCCTTTTTGACAATTTGGATGCCTTTAATTTCTCTATCTTGCCTTATAGCTCTGGATAAGACTTCCAAAACAACATTGAATAGGACTGGTGATAAAGGGCATCCTTGTCTGGTACCTGTTCTCAAGGGGGGAAGGCTTTCAGTTTCTCTTCATTAAGAGTGACGTTAGCTGTTGGTTTTGTATATGTGCTCTTAATTATGTTGAGGAATTTCCCTTCAATTCCTACTTTGTTGATTGTTTTTATCAAGAATGGATGTTGGATTTTGTCAAATGCCTTTTCTTCATCAATCTATATGATCATGTGGTTCTTTTCCTTTTTCTTATTTATATGGTGGATTACACTGATTGTTTTTCCAATGTTGAACCCTCCTTGAATCCCTTTTATGAAGTCCACTTGGTTAAGATGTATTTTTTTTTTGATGTGTTGCTGAATTCTGTTGGCTAGGATTTTGTTGAGAATTTTTGCATCTATGTTCATGAGATATATTGGTGTATAATTTTCCTTCTTAGTGACATCTTTCCCTGGTTTTGGTATGGAGGTTATGATTGCTTCATAGACTGTATTAGGGAATTTTCCATCCTCTTCTATATTCTGGAATAATTTGAGTAGAATTGGTGACAGCTCTTCCCTGAATGATTGGTAAAACTCACCAGTGAAGCCATCTGGACCTGCATAAGACACACTGAATATTGTAGTCTATAACCACAGAAAAGAGAGAGAAGAAGAAGAAAAAAAATCTGTATGCCAATGTGTGTATGACTTTAATATCCTCTTTCAGCTTCTTGCCTTCAAGGCCACCTGAGAAATTTTAAGATATCGTTTTGATTTCATTTTCAGCCTGTTTTGTTTTTAATCCATGCTTCTCCCACTCCACAACCCCCGTTTTAGCCTTTTTCTTAGTTATAAACAGTTCAAGGCCAGCTGTGGCCATTTTACACTGTCGTTTGGTTTTAAGTGGAAACTGTTCCTTTAAAATTTTGTGAAGATCTGTGTGTGTGTGTCGTGGAACCCTCCAGGGTGGGGGAGGTGTGCACTCACTCAGGCACCCCCTCTAGTCACTAGAATGGAGGTGGGCAGACAGTGAGAGACCAGTGAACAGGTACAAAAATAAAGAAAGAAAGAAAGAATGTGCACACCTTTATCTCCGAGGTTCTGTCAGGAGTCACTTGGTGGTGGCTGTGATCCTTCCCCTTTAGGTCTCACCCAAGATGGAGGCTCCAGCCTCTGAGCCCGGTGAATTAGAAAGCCCAAGATTTCTTGCTTCTGCTACAAATTCCACTGGCTGTAAGCCTTCAGACCTTTTTCTAAATAATCTTATATATGTGGTTCAGATTTCTGGAACTGTCCCCTGAACCTCCTTCATCTGGTATTCTGTGTTATTGCTGCTGGAGATTCTTATGCCATCCATGACTTCTTGACCAAGACTTATACTTTTATTACACAAATATGATTTAAAAATAACACTTTTGAGAGTTGAATAAGAATTAGGCCAAAATTCACTTCTGACAAATATCACAAGACATACATAGTATAATATGGAGCTTTAGAATGTTCCTGGAAAAGTTTAATTATCTTTTAATTTCCTTTCCCAGTTTTATTTAAAGCCACATTGTGTGCATGGGTGCACTATGCCAGAATTTTAATTTTTAAACATAATTTCATTATTTCTGCCCTTTATGTGTTTGTATATGCGTGCTATTTACCGGGAGAGACTGCAATTTGCAAAAAGGATCATCTATTTACAATAAAGGTTGGCTATTAATGTTGTGTTAAAAAAAAAAAAAAG